TTGACCAATTTACCCTTTGAACAATTGTTCATACACATATCAATTAAAACATTAATTAAATTATTGTTTATTTAATCTCATTTAATAATAACCGTTTGATGATAAAATGAACGATCAAGATCGGTTCACATAGTTTGTACCATATAGTTGGTTTCTATTTGAACCAGCCCCTATATATATATATATAGGAGCGTTCAAATGAAAACCGCCTCCATTTGTGTAAACCGTGTAAACAATCTCATCCATCCATTTTCTTGATCAATGGTCAAGATTAGTTTACTTTATTTTAGGAAATTAAAAAATATATATATTAAAAATTTATTTTTATATCAGCAATAAGGACAAAATGGTAAACAACAATACATATTTGTAACATCCTATTGAAGGAATTATTCTATATTTTAGGAAATTAAAATGTCTATTTGTTAGGAAATAATTTCGCTAATGCAGCAGCCTTTTTATTCCTTATCCTGAAATTGTTTCAATATTCTTCACACACCCATGTAAATATGCACCCTATTCATTATGAAATTATTTCAAGATGCACCAGTTTCATCATGAATCCATTTCAACATGTAATTATTTCATGACAAACCGCATACATTATGCACCCGTTTCATTTTGCATTTCACCTACTAAATGGATCAACTACACCATCACTGAAACGAGATTCACCATCAAACCATTTCACTACTCATTGTTCAATTACGCCATGAACTAGTTTCACCTTCATGAAACTTGTTTCATGTTCATAGATTAGTTTATTTCGCTCCTGATTTGATGAATTCATTCCTTCAATCCTTACAATCTTAAAGATTCTGTAGCAGATTACAATTTTCAAGATTATGGAGCAGATTCATCATGTACCCGTTTCATCATGCAATTATTTCATGACGAATCAAATACATTATGCACCCGTTTCACTATTCTTGTTTCAAGTACGCCATGAATCAGTTTCACCTTCATGAAACCTATTTTATGTACATTAATTTTCTTATTTCACCTGTGATTTGATGAATTCATTCCTTTAAGTCTTATAATCTTCAAGATTTTGGAGCAGATTACAATCTTCAAGATTTTGTAACTGATTCATCATGTATCCGTTTCATCATGCAATTATTTCATGACGAACCAAATACATTATGCACCCGTTTCATTTTCCACTTCACCTACTAAATGGATCAACTACACC